TTGTGACAAGGCTCACAAGTACATTCCCTAGTTTGATAAAATGTCATAATAGGATACCAGAATGATGGGACCATACTGTCACATTGTCACTTTTGGCAAAATATTATTATGCAGTTGTGTGTAACAAGTAAATACTGTATTACAGCCAGTGTGTGGGGTCGTGGTAGTTTACTGCTGCCACTGTGACATCGTTGTAATTTTAAGCATAAGTGCAGGGTACATTTGAAAGCGAATGTGTAAGTAACACACTTTCGTTTCAGAAAAGAAAGGGAGTTGGTTAGATACTCCCTTTCTCTTCTTTCAGGAATTTCCAGAGAAAGATTTTAACATAAATTTTGCCAAACCTGGGAAGTGCACAAAAGACAGTGACTTCATAGATTTGGTGGCTTAGCTTCTGTTATGAATTTAAATCTTAACAGACAAGTCAGTGGCAGTTAGGGATTTAGGGGTAAGTAAGAGTCCAACAAGAGTTTCTGGAAGAAGCCCATTAGAGTAGCTGCCATTGTCTACACGATTCCAGTCAGTAAATAATGGCAGGCTTGTTTCCTTGATCTACTCTGTGGTGTGGGGTAATAGGCATTGAATTTGTATTGTATATTTAACATCCTAGTTATGCCTCTATCAACTGATGCAGGTAGCTCTACATTCAAGGAAAATGTAGCTTGTTCCTTTGTATTACCATGTAACACTTTCCTACTTTAATGTAGAGAACCATTATCACTATTAATTGTTTGTACCTTTATTTTGATTCTATTTGCCCAGCCAGTATTTGTCACATTCATGTTCATCGGGATGTTTGTTCTTAGAGGGAAAGAAAGGGAGCACGTTAACTGATGAAATAACTGAGATTTAATTTGAGCTGTGGCACTAAGTAGTTATGGAGTATGATGCTGTAATCCCCATACTCTGGGGGGCAGGAGGATCACAAGTTCAAGCCCCATCTGGGCAACTTAGTGACTTAGGAGACTCTGTCTCAATGGGAAAAAAGGGCTGGGGATGCAGCTCATGGGAAAGGACCTGCCTGGTCTTGATCCCCAGCACCGCCCTAGCACTACAAAAGAAAACAGCTAAGGAGTGCTACGAAGTAAAGAAATGCATTGTCTTTTACATTACATTTTCCAAGAAATGTCTCTTCTGTAAATTTAAACAAAATTATCACTTCACACAGCTTTGGACAGAACTGATATAAATCACTGTTACTTTTCTTTCATTTCTTTTCCCTATACTTTTGTTTAACCTTGAAAAATGAAATAGCACTCTTGGGTCTTAATATTCTAATATAAATTTGACCTCTCATGAAACTTAGTTTATTTTTTTTTTAATTTTAAATTGAATTTATTGGTACATTCTAGCTAGACAGCACAGTTACATTCATTACTGGGATCTTGTACCTTTACATGCCAGGCTTGGTTCTCATTTGAAACTTACAGTTTAAATAGAGATTTGTTTAGGGGCATATGTAGGATTGAATTTTCTCATGTTAAAACATACTGCACATATGAGTTAAAACAATGGCAAAAGCCCTTTTCATTATATTTTTTAAGTCATAAGAAAGTCCTGGTAGGGCTGTGGATTTGGCTCTGTGGTTCTGCTGCCTACCTTGAAAGTGCAAGGACCCGAGTTCAATTCCTGGTACCCCCCCACAAAAAAAAAGGAAAAAAAAAAGAAAGTCCTGGTAGTGAATCACAAGATGATCTTAAGTTTCCTTTTGTATTTTCAATTATAATTTTTCTTTAGCTTTAAGACAAAATGCTTGCTCATCCATTGATTTATTCAGAGGCCGAGGGACTCCCAAGTCAGGACCTGGCACATCCTAGGCAAGCACAGCCTGAGATGCACCCTGGCCTAAATGTCTTATTTTTAAAAGTCAAAATCTTAAATTCTTCAAAATTCAACCTTGCAACCAAAGTACTTAGCCAATATTAGAAATAAATTTCGGTGTACTTCAGAGAGGCCTGGAAATAGAACCTAGAGTTTGTCAGTTGCCTTTGAAAGTGCTGGTGATTTTCTTCTCCCTGAGGATGACCATTCTGCCCCTTCTCACTTTCTCACGTCGTGGTTATAACTGCTTCCTGACCTGCGTTATTTATCTGAAAAACATTCCAGTGAAATACAGAGAAGAGATTTTTGTCTTAAATAGGAGTTATTAATGTCAAGTCTGCTTTGATTTTAAAGTTGGACTAAATTGCGAATGGATTACTATATTCAATAGGGTAAAAGCTAGTTTTCAAGGAATTTATGTTAAGATTCTGTTGTGGTTGGTTGTTTAGCTTTTTATTACAGATTTATTTCAGCTTTAGAATACCTTGTATCTAGAACCTTGGTGTATCAAGTAAGATCTATCAAAATTAAAATGTATGGGAAATCTCATCTCACTAAAATCGAGTTTGGAGCAGTGGAGGGACTTTGATACTACCTGTGTATGTTGTATGTGCGTGACAAAGAGAAACACATGTAAAAAGGTTTAAATTAGTAAGCTAATTGCTCCCCGGCCAAACCTTCAAAGTGACCCACTCTTGCTCAGACTAATCTAAATTTGAATCAAGTGAATTGGTATAATAGAGCTCATTTAGAAAACAGCTTTTTGTAGGAGAAGAGTTGATACATTATCTATAAAAGTCACTTAATATGTCCTCATATGAAGTGGTGGTTAATTTTTCCCAGCATTAGAATTTTTATGATCTTAAATTGTTGAGTGGTGTTCTGAGTTACCAGGAGCAGATGATTGTTTGGCTCGTTCTTACAGAAGACCGCCTTCCTGGCGTAGTTGGATTTGCTCTAGCTGGTTCAGTGGTGCAAAACTGTGGCACATGCGTTACTATTTTTTTTTTTTTGGACAGATGTTAATGTAGTTGTTCCTCCTAAACCCTCAGCATTCAGGTTTAACTGCAGTGTTGGCACTTTGTGATAAGTAAGTGAGTTTTGGTGGCAGTTTGGGCTCTCAGTCTCCCAACAGTTTGTCATCACTGAGCTAGTTCATCAATGGGAAATATCCTTTCTAATTATCATGGTTGCTGTGATCACCACTTACCAAGTAACAGCTTGTAGTGATTTGTTCCGATCTGAAAATAATTGCCAGCTTGGCCAGTGTACCTCTTACAAGCACCTGAGCCTGATGGCCTAGGCGTGACCATTGCTTCATGTAGTGGGGAAACTTCTCATCCCACTGTCAGCGTTACTTTTCTGGGAGGTGCTGTAACAAGTGTAACAAAGGAAGGAATTACATTAAGAAGGGTGGCTAACTTTTTTCTAGCACCAACCCAGACACTGATACCTTTTGTTTAGTTCATCTCCTTAAACATACACAAAGTGGTATTAGGGAATTAAATACTTATTTTTCTAAATAAGGGAAAGTAGAGAAATGAGAAGTCAAAGCGTGCTGCAAAATGTGCACAATGAATTAAGGCTTACGATGGCTGTCATTGTACATTTTCCCGCTCAGTTAATCTTGTCTGCATGGTGCTAGAAATTCTCCCCTTTAGCTTGGTGTGCTGTAAATGGCACAGAGAAGGAATTTGTTCAGATGTGAAATTAAAGTGTGTATTGTAGGGGCCAGGGATTTGGCTCAGTGGTTCTGCCACCTGCTTGGCGAGCGCAATGACCCAAGTTCAATCCCTGACACCAAAAAAAAAAAAAAGTATATTGTATTCTAATAAGTCCATGTAAGCATAAGATTTACAAATCTTTTTATTTCTTTCTCTAACAATTTGAAGTGTTCTACAAATTGTTTTAAAATTGATTTCAAGTCTCACCACATAAACCATGTTTCATGTTCCAGAAATATGTATGCTACCAGATTTCAAGTTATCTGAAACATGACAATTGTTCCTGTGTATTTGCAAGGTTTAAAAGACATTCAGAGGAGCTTTTCATATTTTTTCTATATGATATTTGCCACTACAAAACCTTTTGGGGAAACTTCTTTGCTGATTTTCTAATTGTTTATTATGTCGTTATTTGCACACATACAAACACACTAGCAACTTCATGTATTGTTGCTGAATTTTCAGTAGTTTCTTTTTTTTAGTTTTTTGAGACAGGGTCTCACTATGTAGTTCAGACTGCCCTGGATCTCACTGTGTAGCCCAGGTTGGTCTCGAACTCACAGCAATCCTCCTGCCTCAGCCTCCTGAGTACTGGGGTTACAGGTGTGTGCGACCACACCCGGCTTGAGTAGTTTCTTTTTAAGTTATACTTTAAATGCATGTCTGTTCAATAGTTGACATACTTTTATGGATTTTAAAATGAATTTGTTAATGTTTCTGAGATTAATCAGAAAAGCTAATACTTTTACCAAGGGATAAAAAAGTATCAGTGTACTGTGCCATCTTTTTTAGTATAGTTCTAGTTTCTTAAAAGTTAAATGATTTTTAAAGATTGGCTATTTTAATTACACATTTATGATTTTATTTCCTTAGTTTGGATATTTAACATTTTCTTGTAATGCAGAAAATATATTTTGTGGTTTGTTCCTTTTTGTTTGAAATGACAAAAATATTGTTAATTTTAAATTCTAAATTTAGCATATGTTCAGACTTTGTGTACATTATTCACAATTTTTAAAACATTAATTAAGGCTTACTGAATTTGAGGATAAATACTAAAGTGGGAATTCTATTGTAATAGCCTTTCTTTTCTATGTTGCTCTGTGCAGTAAAGTTATTGTGTGTGGGTAGGTCTTGGCTATTGAGTTAATTTATTAACAAGTACTAAAAACAACTTTTGCATTGCTTAAACATGGGTATGTTAAATGTTGAATGGTTCTATCACAGGAGAAAGGATAGTATAGTATATTATGAAAGTAATTGTAATGTGCAGTATGTAATTACATATAATATGTAATTATTTCATAATAACACCTTGAGCAAAGTATAGTAAAGGTAATTAAAATTTTGTTTGCAGTTGCAGTTTTAAAGTTATTGAAATACTTGTCCACGATAAAGCCTAACTTTTATGCAAAAGGTAGATTAATTTTCTTCTTGGTTTTGTTTTATTTCCAGGTGGAGGTTTAGCCGTTGGAACAGTTCTTTTGATTGGTTAGTACAAAATATATGTTTTGCTCTTTCCAATTAGTTTTCTATTGTTCCTTATGGTTTTATGAGTTTTTCTGTTCTGAAACGAAGTATTTAAAGTATTCGTTCTCAAAAAAACTGAGGGTAAATTAGAAAGAAATTGCTTTAAATTTCAATATTGATATAGACTTGAAATAAGTTAGGCAAATGTATCAGAAAATGTAGCTCTTATAATTTAAAAATGTTCACAGTGCATTGTGTTCTATTTTAAAGACTAAAAGTAACATAAGTTGACTTTTCAAAGAATCTCAGGATCTACAGTGGAATTATTCTGGTGATAATTTGAGAAACTGAGAATCCCCTCGTGTGTGTGTGTGTGTGTGTGTGTGTGTGCGCGCGCGCGCGCGCGTAAATGCATTCATATATATCACAGATTCTATCATTATTGTCTTAGTGAAAGCAGAATAACAAGCTAATCATACTGTTGTTCATCTCTAAAGTAATTTGCTATTTAAGTAAACCCTCCTATTTGGCTTATTTTTTAGTGTAGATCACAGAATCTTGGATTTGAAGTAAATCTTCACAATTACATAACCAAAGCACCTCTGTTATTGTTTGACCCCACCATGAATCATATCCATTATGCCTAGTTTTGTCCTCTGATATGTTACAGAATGAACATGCCTACTTTTTCACATGACATCCTTGAAATGTTTAAAAATAGCTAGTTTATTGCCTCCATTCTGCTCCAAACAAGCATTGTTTCTTAACCTGGTTTGTGTTAGAATTTTAACAGTCCCAATCCTCCACATTGTTTTCTTGGTATGGCTCCAGGTCTGACTTTACACAGCCAAGAACTCAGGAGACTCTGAATTTGATATGAGCTATTCTCCATACTGGGATTATGGGATATGATCACTGATCCCTCCTGGGCAGGAATCAAAGTCAGTTCTTAGTCATCGACCACCCTTAAGGTAGCAGAGACATGTGGTAAATATTGTAGAAAATTTGCTCCAGGAATGATCACAGTGCGAATGGTGGTCCGTCAGCATTGGTGTAACAGGAATGAAACACCAGCTGGAGAATCGAATCGGAAGCAGTGCTCCGCCTCTCTCCTTGCAGTTGGAAGAGCAGTGATAATTAGTGGGGAACTGCCCTTTCTCTAACTTCTAGGAGGAGTTACGAATTATGCTAAGAACTTTATGTATACATTTTTCATTTATACAGCATCTGGAGATGTGCTCAGTTCATATTTTCTCTCTTTCTTTCATAAAGAAATGAAGCCAGAAGGGTGAAGTAACTCCCCGTATCTTATAGTCAGAAAACTGGGATTTGGATTCTGGTGTGATTCCAGATCCCATGTATTTATGTAACTGTGCTCTAGTTTTTGGAAGTGTTTTATTTAACAGGCACAAGTAGTAAAATAAGAGTTGTAAACGTTTTTAAAATAGTCAAGTTTTAAATGGTAAAATAAAGTCCACGTATGTGGGAATTTTGTTTTGCTTTGTTGCAGGACTGAGGATTTGTCCCGGGGCCTTGTGTATACTGGACAAGCACTCTACTGCTGAGCTATATTCCCACCCACCCCCTTTTTTCTGTTTTTTTTTTTTTTTTTTTTTTTT